GTGTGCGTGTGTGCGTGCGTGCGTGCGTGCGTGGGTGCGTGGGTGCGTGGGTGCGTGTGTGCGTGTGTGCGGTGTGCGGGTGTGCGGGTGTGCGGGTGTGCGGGTGTGCGGGTGCGCGGGTGCGCGGGTGCGCGGGTGCGCGGGTGCGCGCGTGCGCGTGCGCGTGCGCGTGCGCGTGTGCGCGTGTGCGCGTGTGTGCGTGTGTGCGTGTGTGCGTGTGTGCGTGTGTGCGTGTGCGCGTGTGCGCGTGTGCGCGTGTGCGCGTGTGCGCGTGTGCGCGTGTGCGCGTGTGCGCGTGTGCGCGTGTGCGCGTGTGCGCGTGTGCGTGTGCGCGTGTGCGCGTGCGCGTGTGCGCGTGTGCGCGTGTGCGCGTGTGCGCGCGTGTGCGCGTGTGCGCGTGTGCGCGTGTGTGCGTGTGCGCGTGTGCGCGTGTGCGCGTGTGCGCGCGTGCGCGTGCGTGTGCGTGTGCGTGTGCGGGTGTGCGGGTGTGCGGGTGTGCGGGTGTGCGGGTGTGCGGGTGTGCGGGTGTGCAGGTGTGCGGGTGTGCGGGTGTGCGGGTGTGCGGGTGTGTGTGCTGTGTGGCTGTGTGGCTGTGTGGCTGTGTGGCTGTGTGGCTGTGTGGCTGTGTGGCTGTGTGGCTGTGTGGCTGTGTGGTTGTGTGGCTGTGTGGCTGTGTGGCTGTGTGGCTGTGTGGCTGTGTGGCTGTGTGGCTGTGTGGCTGTGTGGCTGTGTGGCTGTGTGGCTGTGTGGCTGTGTGCCTGTGTGGCTGTGTGGCTGTGTGGCTGTGTGTGTGTATATAGATTTCGTCGTCGAAGCAGGGAGGGAGGGAGGGAGGGAGGGGGAGGAGGGGGAGGAGGGCAAGCTAGGTGCGCTCGCGTCATGGGCTGCGGGAGCAAGAGTCGGGGCTCGTGTACAGGCGGGGCTAGTTAGGCCCAAGATCCAGTCGGGGTCAAGGAACAAACCCCCCACCGCCCCCACACCCCCTGCTCGTCCTCCTGCATCCTGCTGGTGAAGGCCGGCGCGCGAGGCTGAGGTGAGGCCGGCGCGCACGGCCGATGTTGCCACTCGCTACGGCGGCCGTCGGGCAGAACCAAGCGTTGCAGCCCAGGCGGCAGGACGAGGAGTCGGTAGCAACTCGTGGGAGTTTTGTTCGTGTGCTTGCAACCCCATCTTCAGAGCGCACTAGCGTGCGCTAGCGTCCGACAATCGGTGAGGAAGCGCCGATGGAGCGTCGGTGACCGTAGATTTAGCTTCGATTAGCGTCGGTCAGCGTCGACTCGCAAGAGCCAGCAATATGGCACGGGAGGCTCCTATGAGTTGCCACAGAACGACAATTCTGGATGGGGCATTTATCAAGGGGGGTGATTAACCTCACGACTGAGCTTTGCCCAATCCCGCCCCCTCCGTCCTCCTCCCCCTCCTCATCCTCCTCCTCTTCCGCCAACCCCCCCTCCACCCGTGTCGACAGCACGTGCCCAATCACCCCAGCGGATTCAGGTGGGGGGGGGGAGAGCGATATCGTCCCATCCAGAGAAGGTCGGCCACGCGCAGAGGGGGGGAGGGGGAGGGGGGAAGGCTTCTTCGAAGCACCGCTTTCTCAGAAGGCGCGGGCCTTGTCTGTAGGTGTAAGGCCCGCGCCTTCTAAGGAGCAACCTCCTTTACGAAGCCTTCTCCCCTCCCCCGTACATCCCTCTGCGCGCCGCCAAGCTCCTCCTCCTCCACCTCAGCCTCAGCAATCAGCACTCGCCCCGAGCGTGCCCTGTCTCGTCGCTGCGTCCCTCACGAGACATGGGCAGGCTGGGCTGGTGCCCCCCCTCCCCCCTGCGCGGGCGTGCGCTGTGCTGTCCAGGAGTGCCGCCGCAGATGTTTTTTACTCCCTCTCCGGGCGGCAAGCACAGGGAGTGGGGGGGAGGGGGGACCTCTTCTTAGAAGGAGGCTGCTTCTTAGAAGGCGTCGGGGCCTTACATCGACAGAGAAGGCCCGCGCATTCTGAGAAGCAGGGGTGCTTCTGAGAAGCCGTCCCCCCTCCCCCTGCCCCCCCCTGCGCGCCGCCAACCCTCAGAGGCCTAGCATCCTGATTGCCAGCTGCGCAGTGCAGGTCGGCCTCCACAAGTTCCGAT